TAGAAGGCAGAGACTGCCATAGAGGGTGTAGCTCAGCAAAACAGGAAAGGAACCATCTTTTAGAGGAGGAAAATTGGACCGGCAGATGTCTCTACTGCCCAGGAAGAGGGACTGATTAGGAATAAAGAAGTCCTTCTGCAATTTATGGCTGTTTTTTCCTCTTTTGGCAACTTGGAGTTGCATGTTTTTGACAAATTTCCCTCTTTGTCTTCTTTTCAGTTAATACTACCACTAAATTGACCTCTCTGTTGCATGACTACCTACTGTATTTTAAGGTGACTTTTTTCTTAAAATTAGATATAAAAGAATTGGGTACATTGAGAAATGATTAATTGTCTTTATACAATTCAATTCATGCTTTTATCTGTTTTGGTTAGAAAGTTATGACAAAATCTGTACGTTTTTTCAAGTTTTCTCAAAACGACAAAAATTAAGGGGTATGGGTTGCGGCCCGGACTCTCATTTGAAACTCAAGTGGAGGATTTCTTTTATAATTGGCCTAACTATGTAAAAACGACTTTTCTGTAATCCTAAATGGGCTTTTTCATATATCTCTCACCGATTTTGAAAAATGCAGTTTCAAGTGCTTCAGTTGATGTGAAAATGCGAAAATTAACAGAGTCAAGCAATAGCTATGACGTTATCCTCAATATCTCTTTAGAGGTTTCAAGTATCAAAACAAGCCCATTAAGGATCACAGATTTTATTGCTAGTGTGCTTATGGGAAAATATAAGCACTTTAGTCAATAAACTGATTAAGCGAGAGCACAGGCCGGATTGAGTCAAAATTGCTTCTGTACCCCAAAAACATGAAATATTTTCAAATTCCTTAAAGAAATATCATATTTTGCTATTTGAATTTCATTTTGTACTCCTGGAGTGTTTTATGATCACTCTGATGCTGGTATGTGTTGATAACAAAGTTAGAAATATTAACTGCCACCTACCCTTAAGTTTTGGAATATGTTGAAATATAAAATACCATCAACCTTCCGCTCCTTGCCTCTTTCTTTTCAAATCAAATTCATGTACAGCTAATGTGAGCACAATTTATTTGTTTTAAAAAAATTGCTGAAACTTCTTCAATTTCTTCAATGAGCACCTAGTTGTCTACCTTCATTGTTTCATGAGAAGTGAGAAGAGAATGTTAGCTAGTTAAGTGAGTGGCCACACAATGCGCATTAACACACAGTACTGTCAATCTTCACCTGGGACAAACTGAGGTCACAAGACCGCTTCATTTTTGTAATTTCTCAGGAACTGACAAACTATGGTTAAATTCTACTATTTTGGGTATGTTTTTGCATAAAATTTGACCAGGAGTACGAATATGACATCAGATTTAATCATTTCAACATAAAATGTGTTCTTTTTAAGGGGAGACGTACACTCCCGGAAAATTTTTCTAAACGAATGACTTTTATTCAATTTCATGTAATTGTGCAAGAAGTTCATAGGTAAATAGCATGTACTAGGGGTGAATTTGTTCAATTTTTCTGAAAAATGGGTCTCTGTGGCGGCCATCTTGGATTTTCAAACCAGTTTCTTAGTGCAGACGAATTTCATAGTAAATATTGACTTATCAGCCTGAAATTTGGCACACAAGTACAAACCTATATGAACTGGGGATCTATGAAAGGATTTTGACCTATATTTAAAACTAAAAAAGTGAGCCCAAAGTCATTGGACCCCCTAGAGTCAGTTGACGAAATTTTGGGGTACATATTACCAAAAAATTGAATATTTCCTCAAGTTACCAATATTTCCCAATTCCCTTTCATAGATCCCCAGAATCGATCTTAAAGCACCTGTACACCAAATTTGAAGCTTCTAGCTTCTATAGTTTTTGAAAACTCCTTGCACCCAGGAGGTCACATATGTCAAAAAGTAGATTTTGAGAAAAACAGAAAAAACAGGGATTTTTAAAAGGATTTTTAGAGCAATTTGCACTTTTCAAACGCCCTTTTAGGTCATTTAGGGTGTTTTTTCAACAGTTTCTTCATTTTGACTCGATAGAACAGATGTCAAAGGATGTTTTTCCGCAAAAAACAAAAGTTGGAGAGTTTGAAAAATTGTATCGATATTGCCTTGGATCGCCGACCCGGGTCTTCCCTTAAATTAGCCTGGCAGAACTTGCCCCATTTCATGGGACTTGAAGGAAGAAATGAAATTTTATGGTCACTGCAAAGCAAACTAGACGGATGGACTTTTATCTCCCTTCAATGATAGGATGCAGGACTCCGCCTGAACACTCGCAACCGAGAAATAAGATTTAAATCCATACATCCATCTGATGGAGGTGGATGTTTGGTCTGAATGCACAGTAAGACTGTCATACTTTATTTTTCAAAATGGCGCATGGCAGTCTTACACTAAGCAGTAATATCTTGTAAATGGGAGAGAAACACAAAAGATAGTGATACAAATAAACAAACTTCAAATTCAACCATTCATGCCAATTTTGGGGTACAGTAGTCTCCGCCTAAGATCCCGGTGCTCGGGAGCAAGGAAATGCAGGATCTTAGGCGAACCGGGATCTTAACTGACGAACCCAGGGAAGAATCTATGGTGACCCATGCTAAGGCTCACAATCTGTAAAATGGTCTCCCTCCACTTTAAAATGAACTGACGTGCCCCCTTGGTGGGTTTATGACACATGGCCAGCAAAGAGTGGTTAACCTTGAAGACCTATCACAGAACATAGAGGCATGAGGCGTGCCATTTTCACTTATTATCCTATCATGAGTCTCAAGATCTACGCTTATCCAGTTGCCCCTCCCCCTTACCTGTAGAAAATTTATATCGTTCCAGCTCTGAGCCCCCCCCCCCCCCTCCCAAAACCACCTTTGTCGTTACACACCATTACGTTGTGAACACACCAATTAAATTCAGTGTGTCTAGCAAATTCGGGAGTAGAGACAACTTCTGCAATGGTCAGGGAAGAGTTCACATTTCAATGTGATCCCGCCTGGAGCGAACATGTAGGCCCTACCCACCCAGCGAGTGATGTAAGTTTAGGGGGAGAGCTCAGGTTTGAGTGCGATGTTCGGGGAAATCAAACGTGTCAGTCAGTTCACACCCCATTGTGATCCCGTCTGGGGCAAACATTGTATCGCTTCATCCAGTGTATGTGATCACATTCATGATACTGGCTGATCTTTGACGCGACAGACAGTTTATTGATCTCAACTTTTCACTCTTGGTAGATAGGCTGTCCCGCCCGAGTTTTTGTTCCGCAAATTATGATCTGAAATGCGGGATCTTAGCCGAATGTAGACCTTCAGAGTGAATCAGAGCGGGATCTTAAGGGTGACTTTTGTATAGTGAAAATTCTGTTTTCATAAAACAGCGGGATCTTAAGCGAACCGGGATCGTAAGCGGTGGGATCTTAGGCGGAGACTACTGTATATGGATTTACTGGTATCATGTTAAAGCTTGTTCATTTGTCTTGCTTTGATAAAAACAAAAATATACCCATCTGTCTCAAATAGAAGTTGAGGTACATGTGATTGAAGGAGATGGGGCTTGTCTGGTATTAGAGGTAAAATTAACTAGAAAATGGCCATCAATCTTTGATGACTCCCAAAGCTTGAGTTTTCTTGCAAACTGCAAATATACATTTTTTGCGCCTTTGATCGATGTTCTTCAGTAAATCCACAAAGAAATGTGTTGTTAAATTAGCAATGACAATGAAAAATTAAATTTTCATCCAAATTGCTTTAAAATGGGCTTAAATGAAAATAGAGTAAATTCTAAGAACTATGGTTTTTACATTTTAAAAATCCATTGATAAATAAAAAAGTTATTGGGATTTTTGTTTGCAAAATTTTGGGGGACCTTCATATAGGAAAATATCGCCAAAATGTGGGACAGGTCTCGATGTATTTTGAGGGAAAACTGTTCATAAGCCAGTAATGAATTGGAGTATATGAATGAAACTTGGCATCTTTATGTGATTTTTAGTGCGGAGTCTAGTTCTGCTATCACTTTTTCGATGTCTTTATCACTTTGGATCTTAAAGACTGATATTTGCGTGATATTTGTTTAATTGCGTGACATCGTTTTTACTGCGACACGATCACCCCTTCTAAAACTCAGTAAAACGGTATCGGGAAAACCCGCGATGAAGTCATTGGTGACCTATTTAGTTATAGGCAGCCAATCACATGCCGCCTAGCGATCACGCGCCTCTTTCATGCCGGCACTTCGTGTTTGGAATGCGTGATCCACTTTCCAGCTCTAGTGTTTTATCAATGGATGGGTGGCAATTTTAAGTTGGTACGTAAAATGTACTACACGGAGAGATCTGAAATTTTACAGCAATAAAGAAGACATGTGGGGTGCCTCGGTGGTCGGCGATCAACCCTCAGCTCCGCTTAGTTTTCGAACCGCAGAGGAAATTCGCACAAACACGGCAATTTCTCCGGTTCTAGAAATCGTATGGGATTGTACGCTGGCATGTCGTTAGTTTAACCTTTCCTCTGATTGGTTGCTGAGTTTCATTTATTTTCGTCCACGAGTTTTCCTGTAACTATACTTAGAAGAGAGTCACTTCTGATTCAGAGCGCCCCAAAAATTGCCCCTCGCACGGAGGCCGATTTTCGGCCCAAGGCGCAGCAGGCGATTGGCATTGCTAGTTAAATAAACATAAAAAATGTTCAACTAATGATCAAAATTTGCCCAAGGGGCAGAAAAATGTTGGTTTCTTTCATCACATTATTTTAATGAGCTCCTGATTTCACCAAGATGCCCTACACATGTGAAAGTCAAACATGAAGAAGAGGCACAGACATTGGTGGCTTACACCAACTAAATTTCTAACACTGAAGGTTTTCAGCAACTTCATGGTAATGAAAATCAAGAACAGTCCAAATATGAGTATCTGATACACTCAATATATATGAGTTTGGCATTTGCTTATTTCAAAAATAGAATAATAAAACACTGAAAAAAAAAAAGACTTAAGAATACAAATTAAACATCCAAATTGGTACACAAACCTTGGAGAAGAAGCCCACTAAATGGTAGCCTCTGTTGTCCTGTTCGCACATACAGTAGAAGAGAAATGGGTCTGTGTCGAAGTATAATGTCTTGTGGTCTAGGAACAACTTTGCTAAAAGGCACAGGTGTTGAGCATATTGCTGAAATACAGACAAAAAAATATACATATCTCTTAAAATGGAAAACACAATATCATGCATAAAAATAAAACAAGAAAAAAAAAATACAATGCATAAGCATGAAAGATTGTGTGTATGTGCATGTGAGTGAGTATTAGTTTAGTAAGTTGTTTTTTTTATGGCGCTCTTAACTGCATAAGATCATATGAGCATCAAGGGGTGGATGTCAACAGAGAAGTCCAAACGGGGAATGAGGCTTTCTCTGCTCCCCTTTCTAGCCTCAACAGCATAAAGTCTGCTTCGACTATCAAGGCACCCCAGAAATAGCAATTCACAACAGAGTGACAAACATGCAAAAGAAGTAGAGGAAGAATGACAACAGTAAGGATGAGGAAAGAAAAAGCAGCAGCCCCCCCCCCACGTTGTTTCAGCACAGTATGAGCATGACAATGATAAGGCAGCCCATTTTCAATTCTACTGTGCATACGAACATGTTAATATCCCCCCCCTGGGAATCGTCTAAAGAAACTTCAGAC